AACATGCAGGGGTAACGCAAACGCGATTGACTTAATCAAAGTTTCCTTTGCCGCCCAGGACAGAGTCCTTTGCTTCCACCCCTGTAATCGCTCTATCAGCTTATCTTCCAAGTACCGAAACGTAGCCATTTTCGACCTGGCAACCAGCGTAGGTAACCCCAAATATTTATCATGGACCCCTACCGCACCCACTCCTAGAATTGTGGCAAAAAATTCTTGGTCAGGTAGGGCAATATTCTTGCTAAAGCACATTGCAGACTTTGCCAGATTAACCCTTTGGCCACTCAATTTCTCATATTCATTCAGAACCTCAATTAAGTTCTCGCACTCCTGGAGAGAACCTCGTAAAAATAAATAGGACTCAAAAACTAGACTTAAGGTGTCGAATTTTGAATTTTAATTTGTTGAATTAGTGTAATATGATGATATAACATATGACAACAACTAATTAGCCGATTACCCTAAGCCCTAGACCTTCAATTTTGATTTCTATCCCTAAACCCCAAATTGTAAACCATAACTCTAAATCTCTAAACTATAAATCCTTCAAATTAAAGTAAATCTTTAATGGTTTTTGTACAAATTCATGTGTGTTATTGTTCATCACATCATAAGTGATGATTGACATCATTTTGACATAAATTGCATTTTAAAATGACGGTTATGAAGTGAGTGCACTGAATGCACCCAAAAAAATGAGTGCACCGAAGACACCATCATATATATATATAATGGTTGATAATAGCATTATTATGTTTTTTTTGTAGTTCAAAACACATATATGATATAACCAAATATCAACCGTAAACAAAAAATGTGGCTGAGGCTCTCTCAACTCAACCCCACATACACTCCACCAATCACACGTTTTAACCGATCCCACTCCAATCCATCACTCGTTCTTCCTTTTTTTTAATAAGATGATTTCTTAAACAAATTTAATAAAATTAATTAAGTAATTGAACCAATGAAAAATCATAAACCACAAAGTAAATAATAATAATATTCGGCCGCTAATGGAAGCTTCCCTCCTTCATTGGAGACATGCTACCAAATGAAATGAAAGACAACAAAAACAAAAGGAGGGAGGGCCCTCTCTCTCTCATTCTCGTTATTTGGTTTTTTTTTTTTTTTTTTTTTTTTTGGAGATTGTCCGGTTGGTTGATGGCTTGATGCAGTATCGAGACAAGTTTTGTGCGGTGGTGGTGGTTGTGTTAGATATTTTCCTCCTATTCTCTTCCACAAAGTTTCTCCGCCAACTATTCTTTTTTTTTTTTCAATAGATAACTGGCATTACCAAATCAAAGATATCAAAGTTTACAATCCAAAAAGAAACCACTGATCAAAATCAAAACTCGCAACAACAGCAGATAACAAAGAGATGGTCTTCCTGGCTACATCATGAGCCACCCGATTATCATTCCTGCCAACAAAAGAAACACCAAAAGACCGATATTGCCTCCGCAACTCCTCAATTTCCACAAGTATACGCCCTCCCTTCATATCCCGAGCATCCCGACGCAGAATCTTCTCAATCACACCCTTGGCATCCCCATAAAACCAAACTTCATCCATCCCCATAAAAAAAAATACTATTCCCTTTTTATTTTTTTAAGGGTTATTATTTTTGGTGTGTTTTTTAAGGGTTATTTGTTTGTTGAGTTTTAAAATATGACAGATTTTTAGTTTTTAAGGTTTTATAATGAACTCGTTGTATTATGGATTTGAATGAGTTATTCGTTTGTGTTTTTATCAATGATTTACAACTTTTTGTATTAAGGGTGTCAAATAGAAGATGAGATTTACAAATTTATGGAGTTCTATGAATTTGAATCTAAAAAAATTGTGAAAATCTCATGAATTTTGTTTCCAATTTTTGAACGTAACTAACAATGGAGCTAGTTAAATCCATCATGATTGAAATTTGAGTCACAAATCTACCATTCAAATCCAACATGCAAAACAACCCGTAAATAAATAATTGCGTACGTTACAAGTTGTTGTCCCTTATTATTCATATTTAGTTACAGCTCTACTTAATTACTCCAAACAGAATTTGGACTTGGGGGCATCTTTTTGACTAGGGGTGGATAACGGGTTGGGTACCCGTCCCGTTCGAAACAGGTACCTATTCTTATTTGGAGAGTAAACTTCATCCCATGTCCCAAACCCATACGGGTTAATGGGTACCCATTATCCGTACGGGACGGACAACGGTACCGGGGGTAACCCATAATAAGGAAAATATAATTAAAACTTTCAAACTTAATGCTTAAATGGGGAAATAATTAATCTGCTTGAAATTATTATATAATTAAAATTGGAGATAAACGTGCTGGCTACCAATTCTTTCCTTATCACTGATGATTAATGAACCAAAACTGTACTGAACACACTAATGGCACCTGTCAAGAGTTTTCAAGTCAATTAGTCGAATACTCACATCAATTTTTAGTTCTGAGTGTCATACCATACTTCAAAAACTTGGTTTCTTCAACATACCAAGTAGCAGCTATATGTTTCAGCAGGCAAGGCATATTATATATTGCAGACGAAGAAGGGTAAAAAAATAAGGAGAAGTGACTCAAACGGGTATTACGGGTACCCGTATAATCAAAACCGCTATTAACGGGTAACCCACAGATACCCGTTATAGAAATTTTTTATCCCAAATCCCATCCTATTAAAAAATACGGGTATTTGGGTACCCGTAACTTTTAAAAAAAAAGACGAGTATGGGTATACCCAAATACTCGTTTCTCGTTGCACACCCCTATTTTTGACGGATGCATAAGTGCATATGGGATCCTTTCTACCGAAACAGGATCTTTCACGATCTGGTGGGAAAGTGACCTGTTCAGTTCTTTCTTCTTGTTCCTCCTCCCATGAAAATTAAATTCCTTTTCAATCTCACTACTGATCGACCACTCTCTCATTTGTCTTCTTCAATGCAGTTAACGGCATGGATTATTATTATATCAACACATGATTCGTGTAGTTGGTGATTACAAGTGGTGTTCACCCCCAGATTAATCAGTTTGTCTAATATTGTTTTCTTATTAGGGGTAGGCTCAAGTAGAATGGTATGAAGGTTAATACGGTGTGATCTCGGCTTTGATTCTTAAAATGTATCATAATGAGAAAAATTCTTTTGATAGGCAAAAATAGGGCTATCGGTCGCAAACGTGAAACGCCTACTCCCATTAGTTCGACGAGTATAACTGGAGATCTAGGTATAAGTGTTTGACATACATGGTCATGCAAACAATTGTGGAGGTAATTAAAATCGAAGTTACTGTAGAGTGAACTGTGAACGCAACCACAATTTGAAGCAAACATGCTCCTGAGAGGTATCCTTATTAGAAGTGAAGCATTTAAAAAAAAATCATGCGATCAATGTTGTTACTTAGTTGATTCATGTCGGCAAAAACCATATGATCTGCACCGATTTGATATTGTAAATAGTTTTTGTTTTCCGGCGAGAAAACTTGCGTTGAAATGAGATTAATGCACCTTTGACTTCTTTGGGCAACGATTACTAAGACACGGCTCACACCTCTTCAAACAAAGTTCGAACGAGGGTGTTTGATTGATGATTTCTGGGAACGAGATCTAAATTAAATTACTTCTACTCCTATGGAGGTTCGGCGAGAGGTCCAAACTACGAACTACATCTATGGCTACATGATAGAGAAAAGGTAAAGGATAAACTTGACATGTGTGTCAGAGTGTTGGTTTTGGAACCTTTGTCTCTGTTCATCCCTCCTCTTATTTATAGCCACGAGGAGGTAACCGCCATAGAAAACCACTTGTTGGATAACTGCTACAAAGAACCACTCCCCCTTCTTCGGTAGAAAACGCCTCTTGGATAACTCCCAAAAAGAACCGCTCCCTGCTTCCTCAGAGTGGTGATTACTCCTTCAACCGCCTAGGGGCCTCTCTTGTAACCGTCGTGGGTCTTGGAGTGTAGAATTTGATGATGCGGAAATAACAAGAACACACGAGACAACGATTTTACGTGGTATCCTCGATCGATTGATTGATCGAGACTAATCCACGGTGAGCTCATAAGAGCTCACGGCTGATCTCTTATTAGGATTACATCTTGACGGCTTGCTTACGACAATCTCGTAGCTAAGCTTATATAGAGAAAGACTTAGGGTTAAAACCCTAATCCAACAATAAGATGAGGCCCAACAAGGCCCAATACTAACATGGTTTAAGTAACTGCAACACTCCCCCTCAAGCGAAGACATGAATGACAAGAATGTCAAGCTTGAAGAAGTAAACGTGAAGAACAAGCATGATGGCTTGAACCACAAAACTCGAGATGAATAACATCTCAGACGAGGTTGATTGGAGACGACTGACTCTCTCTGAACAACCTGATGATAGAGACGATTGACTGCGTCTCTTGAACTGGAACACACTTGGTACATCGCGGTCGACCTGATGACTGAATTAGTCGACCGACATATGTTGACCTCCTATTCTCCCCCTCAAGCCAGAGCATAAACATCGTGAATGCCTGGCTTGAAAAGCGATGAATGGTTGATATGTGCCTACTAATGAACCGGAAGAGGGGAAGACCATTTCTTGGATCGTGAATGCCAGCTGGACGATGAAGGGACGATTACTTCTTTGATCGTACTACCTTTTGAATGCCAGGGAACGATCATTTAATGGACCGTGAATGCCGCAATCGATACGTGACTATATGTTGATGGGTAAAGCCTGCAAAATGAATTAGTTTACCCAAAAAACTAATTGAAGAGTCCATTAATAAACTCTTACCAAAAAGATGTGGGAGCCCATAAGGGCTTATTTCCCTGTTCGAAGGTAACTACCACTCCACTGTTGCCTTTTTGTAGCATCTGTTGGCCCAAAAAATGCAATTAAATGGCCCAATATCCATAAGCGGGCCCATAAAATTAAGGAACCCTTTGACCTCTATCTCTCCTCTCGCCGCTTCTGTGCTTCTTCTTCCTCTTTCACCTTTCATGACAAGACAGTTGCAGAGGAACGGCGAGTGGAGGAGCTCCGATGGCGGGTGCGGCACAGAGATCGGTGAGGTGGACAAAGCTTGGTGCCGCTTCAACCGCTGTGACTGTAGCGATTCTTTGACTTTCTTGATTGATAGACTAAGGCATGAACTTGTAGCGGAAGACGACAAGCCGATGCAAAGGATGGCAAGAGCACCGCTCTAATCATGACGAGGACTCTACTGGTCTAGCAAGACATGACTGTCAATGACGCTAGTAGCAAAGAAATTAACCCACCGGTGGAGAATGAAACGGGGTGGATTGCCGGTGATGGAAGCAAGATCCACCGCCTGTTGCTGCACTGGTGGATTGATCGAATTTGAGGCTAGGATGACTGCAGCTGAAGTTCAGGCCGCTCATTGACTGACTTCTAGACTCCAAAGACGTATCACCATGGTCTGTTTGTGAATCCCAGGAACTCGGGCGAGACTGTTGTACCAAAGCTGTGAACTTTAGGAACTGAGAGGACGAACATAGTATTCTGACCTTGACTGTAGATGTTTCCGGAGGCAGAGACACGCTCGGCGCTTGAATTGACGTGGCCTTCTTGTCAACACCATTGAGTCGAAGAAGCACACTTGAGAAGCCGGAGATTAGCGGCTTCGGTGGGAGTGATGGCAGCTAAAAGATGCCGAGGGCGCTGATGGCAAGGACAACGACCGAGACAGAGTTGGAGCCGGAATGAACCTCGGCTCTCCTGATGACAACAACCACGAATGATTGGCGATTGATGACCCACGGCGGAATGGACTTCGCCTAGGTCGACTATGCTCAGCGGAATAACATCGCTGATATGCGGAAGAATTGACGGGACGCCAGCTTTGCCGGATTTTGACCGACTCGGCAGTGGATCTAAAACACGAGCATCGCTGATGCGAGGCTGAGATGACCGAAAACAAACCTCAATTGTGGGCCTTGACGGAGACTGGAAGCAACCGACTTACGCGGCTTCTGGTCTTGCTTACCGCCGGACGATTGCAAAGACGACAGACGTTGGACTGATGACGTCGATGTTGCCGGAGAGGCAACTGATGCTGATTGCGGAAGCTCAAAACCCTAGACAAGGGATCGAGTTTCGCTCTGATACCATGTAGAATTTGATGATGCGGAAATAACAAGAACACACGAGACAACGATTTTACGTGGTATCCTCGATCGATTGATTGATCGAGACTAATCCACGGTGAGCTCATAAGAGCTCACGGCTGATCTCTTATTAGGATTACATCTTGACGGCTTGCTTACGACAATCTCATAGCTAAGCTTATATAGAGAAAGACGGGTTAAAACCCTAATCCAACAATAAGATGAGGCCCAACAAGGCCCAATACTAACATGGTTTAAGTAACTGCAACAATCCCCCTCAAGCGAAGACATGAATGACAAGAATGTCAAGCTTGAAGAAGTAAACGTGAAGAACAAGCATGATGGCTTGAACCACAAAACTCGAGATGAATAACATCTTAGACGAGGTTGATTGGAGACGACTGACTCTCTCTGAACAACCTGATGATAGAGATAATTGACTGCATCTCTTGAACTGGAACACACTTGGTACATCATGGTCGACCTGATGACTGAATTAGTCGACCGACGTATGTTGACCTCCTATTCTCATAGCTAAGCTTATATAGAGAAAGACTTAGGGTTAAAACCCTAATCCAACAATAATATGAGGCCCAACAAGGCCCAATACTAACATGGTTTAATTAACTGCAACACTCCCCCTCAAGCGAAGACATGAATGACAAGAATGTCAAGCTTGAAGAAGTAAACGTGAAGAACAAGCATGATGGCTTGAACCACAAAACTCGAGATGAATAACATCTCAGACGAGGTTGATTGGAGACGACTGACTCTCTCTGAACAACCTGATGATAGAGACGATTGACTGCGTCTCTTGAACTGTAACACACTTGGTACATCGCGGTCGACCTGATGACTGAATTAGTCGACCGACGTATGTTGACCTCCTATTTGGAGTGTAGCTTGCCTCGCCTGGTCTTGTTTTGAATCTCGTGTCATGCTAGTCTTTTGATAAGCATGTGGTGTCTCACAAAGGGGGTCATGGTCTTCTTGCCTCTTGAGACATATTCACGAGTGATATAATGTTCCATCACCACACCCTTTTTATTTGTGTCCATGGCCCCTCTCATGAGGCGGCATGTTCTTCCCAAACTTAGAATTTTTTTAGGTCATTCGAATTTGGTCATAAGGCGGCATGGCCTCTTCATTCGCGGCCATGGACCTCTCATTCATGCTCGTGGCCCATCCTGTGACACGACATGACCTTCTCGATCTCTAGAGGGACATGACCCTCCTCGTTAAAGCGACAAGTCCTTCTCTACCCTTAGAATATCTTTGTCTTCTTTGAAATGTGATTTGTGGCCTTGCGTCCATGGCCCCTCTTGTGACATGGCCATGGATCTCCCAATCATGCACATGGCTCTTCTCTTGAGGTGGCATGGCTTCTCATACTTAGTTTTTCAATCATGCCTAAGCCTCTTGTCTCCCATCCATTCCCCTTCTCCTGACTCGGCATCTCGTGAAGCAAGATGGCACGTGCTTCTCCTTGAAGGAGCATGTACCTCTTCCAAAATTAGTTTATTTTTCAGTCATTCAGTCTTGATCTTGGGGCGGCATGTGCTCCTCGATTTCTAGATGGACATGGCCTTCTTCATGAGGCGGCACATGCTTCTAGATTTTAGATGGACATGGCCCTCTTCCCTAAGGCGGCATGTCACTCTCCAGACTTAGTGACTTGGGCTTAAAATCAATATTCATAAGGCCCAACTTAAACAATATTAATTGTTATAATGGGTGTGAACTTATAAACTCATTGATTATCTTGTAACTCAACGATGTGATACAAGACAAATTTTATGGTGTTAACACTTTTTAGTACATATCTAACTCTGACATCAACTAGTCCGGTAGAATTAGTTTGTGAAGTGCCTTATTGAAGTTTTAAGTAAATTCAGTTACTTCTTGTATTTGCATAGAATTTAGATAAATTATTAACATAGTTACTTGGTAAAATTTATGATCATATCATCCAATTAGTTCTCGAGGAAGACACAGAATTCGAGTGTAACTTAATCATGTCTATGGAGAGATGAACATTATTGTGGCTTACCCCACAAACATAAACACACATATATGTATTTTTCGTTTAGCTCATACAGTATCGAGTTCAAACTGATTTTCGACTTTGGACCTCTGGATAGTAATATCTATAAACTTTTCATTAGTCACCGGAGGGGAGTGTTTGTTTTAGCTACTAGGTAGATTATGTGCCGCAATTCGTTGCGGCTTTTCATAGGATTAGAAATATAGTTTGCTAACTCGTATTTGATTTTTTATATAGGGCCGTTCAAACATATTGGTTACCATGATAACCATATTAATCGGTAGTATTCGGTTAATTTGGATAATTGGTTTGGTTTGGTTAAACAATTTAACTTATTTGGTTTACCACGAGATTGTTCAAGGCAACAAGAGCAATCATTACACGAATGGATGTTATTCTAGATACTGGTGAATAGGTATCGAAGAAATCTATATTCTCTCTCTGCCTGTAGCCCTTAACTACTAGGCGAGCTCGGAACCTTTCGATTGCACCATCAGGTTTCCGTTTCGTTTTTAGAACCCATTTATTACCTAAGACTTTGCAGCCAGGAGGTAAGTCTGTTAGATGCCAAGTCTTATTTGCTTCTAACGATTCCATTTCATCTATAACGACCTCATTCCAAAAATCTGCATCTACGGAAGTTAATGCTTCCTGCAGACTTTTTGGATCTTCGAGGGTGAATACTGTAGTAAAGTCATCACCAAAATCTTTAGAGATTCTAGCTCTTTTACTTCTTCTGAGTTCATCCTCAGAACCAACACCCCCACTTGTTCCGTTATCTCTAATAGCGGGTAGTACATTACCCCCACTATTTCTCGTTTTAAATGGAAATCGTGTCTCAAAGAAATCAGCATCAATGGATTCTATTATAGTACGAGCATTCAAATCATAGAATCTATATGCCTTACTATTGGCCGCATAGCCAACGAAGACACATTCATATGCTCGACTAGCCAATTTTGTATATTATTTGTATAGATAATATATAAAATTATTTATATTTCCACACAACCAACCAAACCAAACTTTCGTGATTCCCTATTTTATTTCCATGTGCACAACAAACCAAAATATTATGGGTCAAAAATTAAATGACCTGTGTATTTACTAAACCAAAACATTTTGGACAGCTACTAGATTTTAGGATTACGTACAATACTATATATGTATAGTTTAAGTGTTTTGTAGGAGAGCTTTAACTTCCTAATGAGGGGTATAGGTATGTATTTATGTTAAGGGGTTTGTTGTAAGCTAACTACATTATGTGCACAGATGATAAATGATGTATTAACTCGAATGATGATGATGATAATCATGGATGGTTAGTCTTATTATTATTGCTTATATATAATGATAGTTTATGGTAGTAACAACATATGGTTATGTTTTATTTATTAACAGGATAATTGTTTTTATGTAATGTTATGTTATTTGGTTAATCTGATTATCCAATTAACAAAACCAATTAAACTTTGGTTTTGTTAATTTGGTTCTCGTGTTAATTTGGATGGTTTGGTTAAGACATTTTATTCCATGGTTAATGAAATTTAGGCTTAATTGGTTTGGTTATTATCACGGTAACCATTTGAACACCCCTAGTCGTATAATAGAAATTCCTAACGAAAAATAACTTGATAGGTGATTTTAGCTATATGTAATTATTTAACCACGACTAAACTACAATTTTAGGACAAAATGTTCTCATTCTACCTTTACTGGTACGATTTTCGGTATGGTTTTACAATTTTTGGTATTTTCTCAATACACATCAAGGCTCAGGTTGGAGCAACGTGTAAAGCCTGATTTAACTACGAGTGAACTATGATTTTAGCACAAAATATCATAATGCTAACTTTACGGGTACGACCTTCGGTGTGGTTTACAATTTTTGGATTTTCTATGTACATCGAGGCTCGGGTTGGAGCAACATTTCAAGCCTGATTTTAACCACGGTTAAACTACGATTTTAGCACAAAGTAATCTAATACTAACTTTTTTGGTATGATCTTAGGAATGATTTTACAATTTTCGGTTT